AAATGTGCACCAATCAGCTTTAAGATTTTGCCTTCGTTTTAGATGCCAGTAAAACCATACACTAACGTTCCTGGTACTCCTTCGATTTTGTCGATCAATGCGCATTAAGGTCCCGGCTTAGATAACGTTTTTTTGTTGCGGCTGGGTCATGTTACCCCTTCACAACGTACTACGTACGTAAATCAAGTACGTACGTACGTACGTTATCTGTTATGTACACCTTTGAACAATTTAAAAATATACGTATGTACATATATTAAAGAATTACTGTAATATGGCGGAGAACATTATTATCTCTACGCATGTATAAATAGCAGCAAGGTGAAGTCCAAATTATGCAAAATTATGAAAAATTTCTTGCATCGTACATACGGTGCAAGAAATCTAAAAAACCACAATGGCACCTTATAAAGACGGTATAAATAATGAAATTTTAACGTGTAACTGGATTATAGGTTACATTAAAGATTATGCCAAGCAGATAGTCAAGTAACACTTAAATCCAATATTTCTTAATTTATTGACTTCAATAAAGTATTTGCATACATACTTTGTTGATGCTAATGATTTAGGAAATATGTTTCTATAATGGTATAATTGTGGTATTTAGAATTCTTTCACCGTACGTACGTAGGCATTTAAAATGGTTACATAAAAAATAACAAATTTGCGTATTTCGTAGTTTAAATAACTTTAGATTATTTATAAATTATCGTGTGAACTAAGGTTCTATTCTAAGTATCTATCAACTATCGATATGAATCAAGAAGAAAGCAAAAATATTGACACCATTAGTAAAGAGAAAAATATTAACGATGACTCCGTTCAAGACAAAAACAAAAATATTGACACCAATAGTGAAGGAAAAAATGACTCCGAACTTATTAAAATTCGAAAAAAAGTTTATTATTATGTACTTGAAGGAAGAATGGGAGAGGGTGGAAAAATATTTAGCAAAACGGAAGAGTTTAATGATAATTCAAGTTTCAGCAGCTTTACTTACCGTACTGTATTAGTTGGAATATGCTTATTGTTGATTTTGAAATACAATGCCACTAATAATTTTTTAAAAATTGTGACATCGAGCATTACAGCTAGTGGTGGCATTCTAGTTCTCGCAATAGCTATTATAAATAAGGTCACAACAAATAAAGATAACATTACATCATTAATTAAATTCATGAAAATCCAGGAGAATAAATCTAAATTGATAGATATGAATGATAAAGAATTGAAAAATTTAAAAACAGAAAGGCACGAAAACTATATAAAATTTTTAAACCGCATTAATTGTCTTATCAGGGTAGAAGAGAAATGAAGTATATGGTTCGCCATTTTAATGTCTTTATTTATTACAATTTTAGTTAGTATTAGCACAATCAATATTCCTTTACCAAATTTAAGCGAATATCTTGCTGGATGCATAATTCTATTTGGAACACTATGGCTCAGATATAATTTTATCTCGTTTTATAAAATTACGTGCAATTGTCATTGGGGAAGTTTAGATAAAAAATTAGAAAAAATATATATTTAAGAGAATAGGTGTCTTTTTTTTATCAATAGTTTTTATACTCGGATCAATTCTCTTAGCACCTATGTCCATTTATTATTTGCTATTAAAAAGAACTTATGCAATAGAAAAGAATGTCTATGAAAAATATTTTAAAAAATTTAGATCAGAGCATGATGACGTGACATTCTTTGGGACAGAAATTGATATTAATCTTATTTTGAGACTTGCTCGTATACTTTGTCAGAAATTACCCAATAATTCAGGTGAAAATACTTAAGAATTTAAATGAGCAAAAAGAATTTACGAGGAAAAAATGTACTCAGAAGGATGACCTGGAATCTGGTCCGTATATTAATATTAATGGAATTTTAGAAGAAAATATTCATAAATATTAGAAGAAAATAAACAAGCGGAAGAGAACGAAATAATTAATTGTAGACTTGCGGTTATATTTGCTGGAAAATTTAGAGAAATAATTAATACATTTATTTCGAAAATTGATAAAAAAATTCGTTCTAATTTTAATGAAATAGGACTTGATGAGGCGAAGAAACTTGCTAAGGATATTGTTGATGAAATTAAAATAAATATAGATGCACTTATTCTAATGCTTGCTAAAGAACGTGCATTTTTTAACCATTATAAAAAAGACATGAAACTTATTACTATAGACAAGAAAGAAGATAACCTTTTAATTACTTTTTACAAGTTTCATATTAATCAAATGAAATTCCAAAACATTGAGATAACTATGGGTAAACGGTCAGCCGATCAAAAAGAGATTTCAATAATAGAAAAAGAACCAAAGAATTCCAATGAAGATACGAGTCATGATGATAATAGATTTTTAAAATATTCTATGGCTATAGCTAAAAGAATTATTTTTGATAAAGTTGCTATGATTAACAAGGATAAACCAAATGATGTTAGCAAAAAATTGAAACTTACGGGAATTGATAATACTATACCAAATGATGTTAACAAAGAATTGAAACATTTAGGAATTGATAATATTAATTTTATTGAATTATATGAAAGGTTTAAAACAAGAAATGATCAAGAAGCAATGAAACTTGCCATGAAAATTATAGATAAGAATTGTATTATTGAGAAATACTTAACAAAGCATAATCATAAGACATCTATTAGCTTTAGAAAAATATATAGATATGATGCTAAAGTGAATTTTTGGAAATTTTTAAAAAAGTAGTATTAAGACAAGAATGTGATTTTGTTTTTAAAATAGAGGATATAAAATTAACTAATAAACATAAACATGAAATTAGAAGTCTTTTATGTGGGTTTGAGTAAAATGTATGATCATGGCAAATAACTTGATTTCACCATGCAACAACAGCAGAAATTGCAACAGAATAGTAGCAGAATAGTAGCAACACACTGCAATACGTAACTGTTAGTTGATGATTATATTTTGTTGCAATATTACGTGTATTATATTATTCACGTAACAATATGCTTATTTAGTTGATCTATTCGAATTTGATTAGTTTAAATGTAATTTCTTTGATAAAAGCCGCATGTTAAATTAGTGAATATTTTATTATATATATATATATTAATAAATTGTTAGTTACCGGACAAAGTTATTTATTATATTGGGTATTTTAAACTTGTAAATTTTATTTATTACAAAATAAAGTATATAATTTGAATAAAATATTTTTTTCTGACTTAAATGTCATTTTGTTGTCAGTATTACTTTATTACTTGCACTTTTGCCGGTGAATGTTATAAATACAACACGAAATATATTGGTTGAGTTGAGTGATTTCGTTCACAAAATCTTAAGCCTCATTAGACATATATATGGAATTTCTAAAAATATCCAATTCACAAATACAGGATTTTTCAATTGCTTATGATTATGTACTGTACAATAAATCACAAATCGAGTTTCTTACAAATTACTTACTAAAACCAATGGATAATTCATTAAGTTGTTATTAACCTGAGTTTTAATTGCACCATGACGCTGAGCAGCTATTTTCATTATAGTGAACTCACAAAATTGTGAAACCAAATGTCGATAAGTGATGTTTAATTCAAAACCACTACATAAATTCACTCGATATAGTGATTTTATATTATAGTTAAATTTTAAGAAGTTTTTACGAATGGAACGGATAACCATGATGAGAGTGATTTGTGTAGTTTTTTATTATATAATGTAGGTTCAAAACACAATTTCTTGTACTGTATTTTTTGAATTCATTAATTCACCACAAATGCTTAGAAATAACCTAGCATATTAAATATCAGAAATTTCTAAAAATAAATTTGTAACAGATATTTCAAACAAAAATATTTAGTATAATAAAACTATATGAATAATATATATAGAATTAAATTAAACGTTATCAAAATTATTTCTAGTGAAGCATGCGTTCCAGTATTTACAACACCCTCAACTGATGAAACAACACCGTTAAAGATGCCAAAATGGCCATCCCTATGCCTGATGCCCGCTTTATTTTAGCTGAGAAATTGCTGCTGAAATTTAATGCTCTTAAAACATGCTCTCCGGGAAGGTGCTCTTATAGCGTCATCAGTATGCATGAAATATGAGGAAATTTATATAGTAATATAAGAGTCAAATGATTGTATGATCGTATAAACAAATTATGATGTAAGTAATGTGACCTGAAGTATTTATATATAAGCAAAGCGATATAATAGTAGAAAGAGTTGATATTAGTATCTCTTAATTAATAAAGTTTATTTGAGTAATAAACAAAATACTTGCCTTAGTTGCCTTAGTATAAACTTATAATTGGTAATAGCAAAGTGATTAAGTGCTTGCCATTTGGTCTAGATTGTTTGTGACAAAAATCATAGATTAACCTGCGACAATATCAATATATAGTATCATAAATTCTCAAAATAAAAGTGGATTTTATTTAGTATAGGTGGGAATATATAAATATTAGGCCACGCAAAGTTAATTTTTCGTTTTGCATTACATGGATTTCAGAATCAACGGTCGGCGGTCGGGGGGGTTTTATTCTACAGTAAATAATAGACATTTAAGGTCACGCATAGTTAATTTTTCGCTTTACATAACATGGAATCAGAAAATTGAGTCGGCAATCGAATTTTTTTTATCAATTCTATCGGACAATTCCGGAAAAATAAGGGTGATACCGGAATAATTTGTGGGGAAAAATTAAATGGCAAAAATAGAACAATTGGCATAATTGGAACCTAAAAAAAAATTGAAA